ATGAGGAAGTTGGTTTTGTATTTTTTTTAAAGGGCGATGTAAACATGGGAATGCGCAATATATACTTTTTCTCTCTATCGCTCTATTTGTTGAGGAGAAAGTTTTTTAAATATGATTTTTTTCTTCAAAATGTAAGATACGAACGGGAATGCACGAAAATGGAAAGATAATCAACGCCATGGCATTTTCCCGCCAAAAAAACAAAAGAGCATCAACAAGACCCCGCTATTGAGGATCGCCACTCGACCGGCCGTTTTTACCTGCAGCCATTCCTTCTGGATGGCTTCCTGGTCATTCGGATCCACGTCCTGAGCAGTCCAAGCCCAATCCGCAAAGAGACGAGCGGATTGGGGATTGCCGTCGGGATCCAAAACGGAGGAGGCGGATATGCGCTCGTTGGGGATTCGCCAGTCTTGCATGCCCAAGCCGTCTTGGCATTCGCACTCGCACCGCACTCGAATCTCGTAGTCCTTGCAATAACGCTTTCCGCCTGCGAGGGAAACCATGATTTTTTAGTGTCAAGTTGTCTAAGGTTTATTCAAATACACCTACCAAGTCTTGCTGAGCTACATCACAAACAAGAGTTACCACATCACCATATCTCAAAAATAATCTCTTAGCAACCTCCATTAAAGCCCAGACACACACATTTATCCCCTCAAAATACCAATAGATAACAAAAAGACAAAAAAGATACCCTCTAAGATCACTCTATCTCAAATCATCATCATCATCATCATAATAACAATGATAATAAACACCAACCACTGTTTCGGCATCTCGCGCCCTTGTTGTCACAGGTCACCACCGCCTCCACGTCGCCGCCTCCTACAGGACGACACTCGACGTCGGCGATGTAGTGGTCGGGACAAATCTTATTTATCTGCGGGAGGAAAATTGGAGAGATCTGACGGAATTTCTTTCGTGGGATAAAATGGGCGAATGAGGTCATCGGGAGAAAAGTGTGAAAGAAAATGAATAATTATCGTGAATAGTACCAGCGGATGCACAAAGGGGATGGAAGGAAATGGGACGATTAGAAAAAGAGGAATTAAAACTGAAAGAGAGAAAAAACAAAACACGAATTAACCCTCCCCCCTTCCAAAAAAAAATAAAAAATAAAAACGAAAACAACAAAATAATTTTTAAAACAACAATTGCACCTCAAACCGTCAACGAACCGCGCTTCCGATTAATCCTAAGCCCGTAACCCACCTTCCTGATTTCGTCCACGGACTCGAACTCCCCGCTGGAATCCGGGAAATGAAGATTGTACCAAATGGACCATCCTTCTTCCTCGCAAGTCATGGGGGTCGGGGCAGTCACAGGGGGTCTGAAAAAAAGGAATAGTAGATAAATTAAATGGATCAATCAATAAATAGATTTTGCAATTCGTGGGAATATAACTATCGCCCGTTTTCTTTCGGAGTTATTTTTCCTACTTAATTCTCTCCGCGTGTCTAATAGGCATTCGAATTCGGAACTTGGTATTTGAGGCAATGTTGGTTTTGTAGTTCATTGTGTTGAAATATGTTGTCGTTTTTTAACCAATTAAAGGTCTTAAAACTTGAATATCAGCGCATGAATAGATCGCGATTTTTAATACAGTAATGGCGATGCATATTAAAAAAAAAAACAAAAAAAAAAAAAACCAGAAGCAAAGATATTCTTAAATTCAAACACTTATAAAGAAGAAAAATAAGAATGAAAAGAAGAAAGTAAGAGAAAGGAAAAGAAAAAGGTAAAAGGAAGAATGAAGAGAAAAAAGGAAATAAAGAAAGAATGAGAAGAAAAAGAAGGAATAGAAAAGAAAAAAAGAAAAAAAGAGAAAGAAAAATAGGAAGAAAGAAAAAAAACAAAAACAAAATGATTAAATATGAAAAAGTAAAAGAAAAGAAAAGAAGGGATAAAAAGGAAAAAAAAAAAAAAAGTATCAATAACAACACGACGACAAAAGCAATGTAAAAACACATGGACCCAAGGCGGTCGCAGCTGCCACCGCTGTTTGCGTGCGGCGCCCAAGGACTTACACAACGGGCGTGGAAATGATGGGCGGCGTGAAGGGCGAAGCGGGCGTAGTGACAGGAGGGGCCTCTGTGGTGGTGATGCCTGAGGGAGGAAGGGAGAGAAAGGACGACATTATTACAGGAGGATTTCGGTTCGTTTTGCGTAATATCCTGAGCAGTTGTTGGGTGAAGAGGGGGGGGGGGCGTTTGTTTCAACTTTTTGGGTGTTGGTTTGGTGTTGTTGGTGTTTGTTGCGGAAACCAAGGACGGATTATGATAGTAGGCGTCATCTGAGAATTTCCAAATTGGAATACCTGCTCCAGCATTGCAATAAAGGGATCTTTTCTGGAATCTGTGCATGCATGAATATGTCTTACGCATCCACACAAACACACACACAACACCCCCTCCCATCCACCCACCCACGCACACACAAACACGCCACAACACCTCCACCCACCCACTCCAACCCCCTATCCCCCCACACAACACCCCCTCCAACCCACCCCATCCCCACCCACATACAAACACACACACACACACAGCATCCCCCCCCCAAACACACACAACACCCCCACCCATCCACCCACCACACAAACAACACCCCCTCCAACCCCCCCTGTCCGCACCCACAGCCAACCGGCCTCCAGCCCTACTCACTGCAGTCGCAGAGGACGGCGATTTCGTAGTTCCAGCAGGCATCGTCTCCCTGGGCGTCGTCTCGGCCGCGGCACAGGAGGCCCTCGTCCACGGAGCACCTGACGCCCTTCTGCTCCGTGTGGGGGCGGTGGGTTCCGATGCTCCTGCACCGGATGTCCGTCACCTGGCTTCGCTCGCAGAAGCCTTGACCTGGCTTGCCCTGGGAGGAGGAAGACGGGCTTCTTAAAAAGGTTTCGAGGGTCAATGGGTGGTTAGCGAAAACAGGGGAAATAGTTTTCGCTGTTGTAGAATTTATATCGCAAATTTACCATATTTTTATTATTATCATTCTTCTCTCACACGCTACTTCCTGTCCCCAACCTCCAAAGGATAAAGTGAAAAAGAAAGTATCTACTGAAACTTAAACATTTAGATCATGATTGTTTTTTGTTCGTTATCATTCATAACGCACACAACTCCCCCTCACCCCCCACGCACATTAAAAGACCCAAGAATAGAAAGAAGAAGAAAAAAAAAAAAAGGCAAAAGAAAAAGAATCTCAGTCCTCCCTAAACAACAGAAAATGGAACCCCTCGCCCCTCCCCATCCCCCCTCTCCCTCCCCCCCCTCCCTGCCCACCTGCTTGATTTTGGCGGGAATCATCTCTGCGTCCGAATTCTTGCGGAAGACGATCGGCTTGTCCTCGCTCCTCCACTCGCTCCAGCCGTCCCAGCACTCGCCTTCCTCGGGAGTGACGCCGGTCGGGAAGGGCGTCGTCGCCTCGGGAGTCGGCGAGGGCGTGGTGACTCGAGGGGGGAGCACGGGCGTGGTGGTGGGGGCGCAGGGCGTGCCGCGGCAGATCTTCTTCTTCCTCGTGCACACGCTGAGGGGGAGGGATGGGGGTGATGATGATAATAATGATGATGATGATAACGATAATAATAACAATAATATTGATAACAATAAAGATCATAACAATAACAACAATAACAAAATAATAACAATAATAGTGATTCTAGTGCTACTAATGATAACGATAATAAAAACAACAATAACAGTTATTACGATAATAATGATAATGATATTAATAGTAGTAGTTATAACAAAATGAATGCCAATAAATATAACCCTAATCATAACATCAAAGAACATAAAACTATGTCAGCAATAATAGATGCAAACGACACATGAAAATGACGTTAGAATATTAGAAAAAAAACACGAATCTCACACGCAGAGAGAAATAAATATCGATAAAAATGAAAACGAAAAAAGAAAGAAAAAAAAAAAAGGTCAACAGATCCCCCAACACACCAAGTATGGCAGTCGTCCTCGGAAATGACGTCGCCCTCCATGTAGACTTCGCCGTCGATCTCGAGGCACTTCTTCTCGCAGTCGGCCTTTGGCACGCACTCGACGTCGCTGGCGCTCTTGTACACGTAGCCGGGCGGGCAGACGTCCTTGGCGCATCCTGCAGGAGGGAGGAGCCGTGGTGGAGGGAAGACGAAGGAGGATATGGAAGGCGGTGGCCGGTTTTTATTTCATTCATGATTGGGAAGTGGCTTTATCTATCTATCTATCGGTCTATCTATCTACCTATCTGTCTTGTTGTCTATCTATCTAGCTATCCATCTTATTGTCTGTCTATCTATCTCTACATATGTCTGTCTGTCTATTTAGGTATCTTTCAATCCAAATATCTATGTATCTATCTATATCTATGTCATATCTATCTATCTATCTATCAATATATCTATCTATATCCATATCTATCTATCCTATCTATATCCATATCTATCTATTCATCTATTTATATCTATATCCATATCTATCTATCCATTTATCCATTTACATATATCCATATCTATCTATATATTCATCTATCTATGTCTATATCCATATCTATCTATTTATCTATCTATCTATATATCCATATCTATGTATCTATTCATCTATCTGTACCTATATTTATATCCATATCTCTCCATCTCTCTCCCTATATAACAGCGAGAGCCTGAAAATGGACAGACAGAAAAGTGCAAGCCAAGGCAAGCGGCTCCAAGGAGGATATAATAAGGAAGACATGATAAGGAGGAACGCGGCGGAGTGTTGCAGAAGACGAAGGATGAGTGGAGGTAAAAGAGCCAGAGAATAGAGGAAGGAAAATGGAGGAAAAGAATAAGAGCAAGAGTAAGAAGGGAGGAGGAGGAAGAGGAGGAAGAGGAGGAAGAGGAGGAGGAGGAGGAGGAGGGGGAGAGGAGGAGGTGGAGGAGGTGGAGAGGAGGAGGAAAAGGAGGAAGAGAAGGAGGAGTAGGAGGAAGAGGAGGGGAGGAGGAGGAGAGGGAGGAAGAGGAGGAGGGAGGAGAGAGGATGGGGGAGGAGGAGGAGGAGGAGGAGGAGAGGAGGAAGAGGAGGGAGGAGGGAGGGGGAGGAGGAGGATGGGGAAGGAGGAAGGAGGAGAGGAGGAGGTGGAGGAGGAGGAAAAAGAGGAGGAGGGGAGGAGTGAGTAAGAGAGGAGGAGGAGAGGAGGGGGGAGGAGGAGGAAGAGGAGGAGGTAGAGAGGTTGATGATGAGGAGGAGGTGGAGGAGAAGGAGTAGGAGGAAGAGGAGGAGAAGGAGAAGGAGAATGAGGATGAGGATGAGGAGGTGGAGGAGGAGGAGGAAGAGAAAGAGGAGGAGTAGTAGGAGGAGGAAGAGGAGGAGGAGAAGGAGTAGGAGGAAGAGGAGGAGAGGAGAAGGAGAATGAGGATGAGGATGAGGAGTGGAGGAGGAGGGTAGAGTAGGAGGAGGAGGAAGAGGAGGAAAAGGAGGAGGGGGAGGAGGAGAGAAGGAGGAGAGGAGAAGGAAAAGAGGAAAAGAGGAGAGAGAGACGAGGAAGATTAGAACCGATCGCAAAACCATATCCAGAGAAGAAAATAAAGAAAAAGAAAGCGATAGACAACATCCCCCCCCGCCCCCCCCCGGTCCCTGAAAGGAAACCCCCCTGAGTCCCTGAAAGGAAACCCCCCCTTTCCCAGCCCCCCCTCCCGCCCCCCAAAGGAACGCCTTACCCTCCCGAAAGGAAAAAACCCCCTTTTCCCGGCCTTACCCTCGACGCACGCATCCTGCACGCAGAGGGGCGACGTCGGGTCCAGCAGCGTGTCGCAGGTCTCGTGCGGGCAGGTCGGGATGCACGCCTCGTAGTGCTCGCAGTTGACGTCGCACTGCATGGCTGTGGAGATGAGGGAGATGAGTGATGGCGGTGGGGGAGGATGAGGGAGATGGTTTGATAGTGAAGGTAATCATCATCATCCTCATTGTATTAATATTAGAATCCTAAACCCAATACCAATACCAAAATACTTACACAACATAATGCAAACAATACAGAATGAATAAAAGCTAGTAAAAGATACATAAAAAAAAAAACGTTATCTACGTTCGCTAAGAGACTCTCGGCGCGCCATCTGACGGACGATACATCAACTCGAGTGGCGCGAAATATATATAATTCCGACGCTATAAATATACATTACTTTTTTTCTTTTCTTTTCTCTCACTCGGCGTTTTATATGTTTTATATATACAGACGTGGAGCATGGAGTGAGTAAGGGTCATTCGAAATGATTCATGTTGATATATTTTACGACGCATGTTTAAGCCACTTTTTGAGACGTTATTCCTGAAGTTTACTTTTTTCCGAAACATTAAAACCGTAGATTCTAATACTGTTAAAATCGTTTTTTTTTCCAAACTTGTGAATAGAAAAAAGAACTAACATCTTAATTTGCTAATCTTTAATACAACCCCTTCAATTCTTTTTATATCTAAACATAACGCCTTTTCCCTATCTTTAGAACCTAAAAATCTCAAATCGTAATACATTCCACTCATAATTTATACCCATTTTCCCTGGCGTAAGAGCAAGACCTTAGACATCGTGTTTTCTCAACCGACGGCTTTCACAAACCCTCTAACGGGAGGCTCGCCCGGGAGAGGGAAGAGACAGTTATACCTGGTGGGAGTGGGCGGCTACTTCACCCTTTGAGCGAACTCACTTGTTGTTCTCTCTCTCTCTCTCTCTCTCTCTCTCTCTCTCTCTCTCTCTCTCTCTCTCTCTCTCTCTCTCTCTTTCTCTCTCTCTCTCTCTCTATCTCTCCCTTCCTCTCTTTCTCTCCACTTTCTTTCTCTCTCTCTAACCCTCTCTCCTTCCTTCTCCCTCTCACTCCTTCCCTCCCTCCCTTCTTCCCTCTCCCTCTCCTTCCTTCCCTCCATTCCTTCCTCCCTCCTTCCCTCCCCTATCCCTCCCTCCTTCCCTCTCTCTCTCACTCCTTCCCTCCCTCCCTTCTTCCCTCCTTCTATCTCCTCCTCAACGCATACTCACGGCAGAAATCGGGCGTCCTCCACGCAACAAACACGCCATGGATGTTGCACTCGTGGGCGTAGGCGGCCACAGCGGTGCAGAGGCAGTGACAGTCGCCGCCCGTGTCACAGCCGCAGGCGTCGAACTGGCACCTGTGGGGACGAGGCAAGAGAGAGGCGAGAATTTAGAGCAGCGGTAAAGGGTTAACGAAGAAGGAGAAGGGCGAGGCAGGAGATTAGGGTAGTGGCAACGAGGCAAGGAGGGAGGGCAAGGACGACGCAAGAAGCAAGAGAAAGGTAAGCAGCGAAAAAGGTAAGAAGGGAAGAGAAAGACAAGGCAGTAGTAAAGAAGGCAAGGAGGGAGGAAAAGGGCAAGGTAAGAGACAAGAGATGGAGGGAAGTAGTAAAGGCGTAAAGAGGAACAAGTGGAAACGAACAAGAAGAGAGGCAAAAGGCAAGAGGAGAGCAAAGAGGCAAAGAAAAGGGAGAAGAGAAAACGGAAGAGAAGCAAGAAGCAAGGAGGATGAGGACGAGGATAAGGGAATGGATGAGGGAGAGGGTGAAGGTGAAGGGGGCGAGGATAAGGAAATGGATGAGGGTGAAGGCGAGGATGAGGATAATGATAAAGATGAAAATGAAGGGTGAGAGTAAAGATGAAGGTGAGAGATAAGGTTCAAGTGACGATGAAGACAAAAGAGAGAATAAGACAGAAAGGGAGAGAAGAAGTAGGGATGGGAGATGGCACGAGCAAGGGAAACAGAGCAAGAACGGCAGCCATGACACACAGTATCTTCCAGTTCTTAAGAACAGGGAAAGAGAACACACGAAGAGATGACGAGAACATCTGTCTCGAAATATTTCCTGAGATTAAGATAATGTTTCAATTACGAAATAGAATAACTGGTATAAGTTATAACTAAAACAGGGAATAACATTATATATTAGTGAATAAATGAGGAATAGTAACAGAAAATTAAAATCATTAAAAAGATAAAAAGTAACAAGAATCAACAGAATGGTCAACAAAAATACATTTATTAAATAGAGAAGAAAGACAAAGAGAACAGGGGAAGAATACACTTAAACACGAATAAATAGTATAATAATACGAATAAATCAATCTATAAATAAAAAAATAGTTAGGAGAGCAAGGAATCCAGTGTTTACTAGAGCGATTTGTGGGCGTGCGGGCGGCGAGAGATATATTGCTGCGGTGACGTAAGGTGGGCGTGGGTGTTACTCTAAGGTGTAAGAGGTGATGTGCGTATTTGTGGAGGGGAGGGGGATAGGGGATAGGGGATAGGGAGGGTGAGGGGGAGGAGGGGGTGAGGGTGGGGATTGGGGATTGGGTATTGGTGAGGGTGAGGGTGAGGGGGTGAGGGTGGGGATAAGGGAGGGGTGGAGGATAGAGGGAGTGAGAGGGAGGAGGGGGAAAGGGAAGGCAGAGAATAGGGGAGGAGGGAGGACGGATAAGGGAGGAGGTGAGGGGGAGGAGGGGGCGGAGTTAGAGGAGAAGGTGGGATTAAGGATGGGCGCGACTGAGGGTGAGGGTGGTGGTGGGGACGGAAGAGTGAGAAGTTGAGTGTGGGGCGAAGGAGTGAGGGAGAAGGGGTGAGGGCGAAGGGGTGAGGGCGGAGAGAAATTAAAATGCGTGGGTGCGATGGGGGTTATGGGTAGGGGTGGGGGGTAGAGAAGAGACGAGGGTGGGGGAGGGGGCAGAGTGAGGGGAGGGGGGGGGCGCATAGTGAAGGTGTGCAGTCCATGGACACCGAATTTTTTGGCTTTGCGATACGTATTGGTGTCACTGCATTCCAGATGGTGACTTATGGTGGCCTTGATTTATGTACTTGTGGTTGTGTGTGTGTGTGAGTGTGTGTGTGTGTGTGTGTGTGTGTGTGTGTGTGTGTGTGTGTGTGTGTGTGTGTGTGTGTGTGTGTGTGTGTGTGTGTGTGTGTGTGTGTGTGTGTGTGTGTGTGTGTGTGTGTGTGTGTGTGTGCGTGTGTGTGTGTGTGTGTGTTGTGTGTGTGTGTGTGCTGTGTGTGCGTGTGGCTGTAAGTGTGTAAGTGCATGTACGTGTGCGCATGCTTATTTGTGTGTGCATATTTGGATATATGTGTCCATAGGCGTATGTGCTTGTGTGTAAAAAAAAAAGAAAAAGAAAAAAGAAAAAGCAGCAACTCCATCCCAAGAGCAGCTCAAGTCCCACCTTTCGAGGTACGGCTCGACGGGCACCTCGGAGTGGCAGGGCGCGAAGGTCTCAGCCTTGAGGACGGCGCACTGCTCGGAGGCCCAGACCTTCCTGTGGGGGTGGAGGCTGCACGTGTCCTGGGGGAGGGAAGAGCACGCATGAGGAGCCTTTTCCTTGATTCAGGGAAATAGAATTATCATCATTTTATTTTATCGCATTCGCACTAATTTTATCTTTGATTTTTTGTTTCATTCGAAGAATATATGAACACTATCATTATTATGTACATTTTAGGGGGTTGCCTGTTGCTCCACTGGAAAACGGAACAGATAATGATAACAGTAATGATAATGATAATAATAATGAGGACAATTTAATAAAAATGATATTGTCGAAACCCCGAAAAATGTTCCTAAAATCCCTACATTACTTTCTATCAAGAGTAATTCATAATGTAACAGCTGGTTTGAAGGAGGGATGGAGGTAGAGGTCCCAGACGTCATAAACAGCGGGTAATAAACTAATAAAGATAATAACTCCATACACAAATACGTGATTATAAATATTAACAGAGCAAGGAAGCTTTTTTTTTCTTTAAAGACAACAGTACGTCTTCATTATCCCCCCTTCATTGTTCAGGAAATGTGCCATAAACCATAAGAAATAATAATAATGAGAAAAAAATGACATCGTCAAACCGTTAAATTCAAATAATACTCAGTAGGCGCTTTATACTCAGGCGCTCTTAATCACTTGCTTGTCCTTCACACATTTAAGCTTTCACTCCAGCTCTTATCTCATTCAAATATATTACAATGAGGGACCA